GGCAGATCCATTAGGAGATACTACCCCCTCTTAAGAGCTCTTTCTGACACAGATTTTTATTGGAACTGACTCTACCCAGCTCTGTTCGTTGAATGGTATGGCAAGAATGCTCGTTTCCGGGAGCGTTACCTACCCTCTCAATTACATTTACCCTATGTCGTTAATAACATATTATTTTTTCATGAGGAACGTCTTATGATTTGACAATTTCCTTATGTATTATCACTATTTTATTTATTAATACACTTCAAATTATAATATTCTCTAAAATAAATACAATTTGTGCATCGCACGAGTTACGTACTAGTTAAATAATAAATAAAATATTAAAATATTAATTATGTTTTATATGATTATTGATTTGTCATTGGGTTAAATTGTAATATATTATAATATTAATTATGTTTTATATAATTATAGATGTGACTTTTGGGTTAAATTGTAATTTATTGAACTTTACAAAATTGTAATTGCGTCCTTGTATCATGTCAAATTTTCAAAAAACAGTCGTCGTTTTTAGCACCGACCGGCGTCTCAGTCGCAGCAGATCGCGACCGACCTTGGCGGGCGAAAGGGAGTGTCTTGGAGAAGATGTCCCTCGGAGATGTCCCTAGCATCGATAAAATTCTTCACAATCTTTATTATCCAATTTGAATAGCTTAATTTCAAAAATTGAAGATATATATAAAATAAATCCCTTTTTAACATTTTAAAAGTTTATATTTAACTATTTAAGCAAAATTTAGCGAACTATTGGATTCACCCATGCTGATTGATCGGGTTATGCCCCCAATGATTTATTGATAGCCCGCAATCTAAAAAGCAAGATCTTGGTCATAATTTGTTGAGATTAGGATTAAAGTACTCCAGTAAATCATTAAAGTGGCTGCTAATATGATTGCAAATTCAAGCTTACCTATCAATTAGTCAAACATTTTTGCTGAGTGCACGTCTAAAAGGTGCCCTAATCAAACATTCTGATACGATATTTAATCACGCTTATTTGTCCTTTTTTCTTTTTCTTCTTTTCCTATTGTTTTATTTCTTACTAAAAGCATGAATTACATGCTAAAGCGCCAATTCATGATGGCTACAGCATAGTAATTATAAAGATGATAATTATTATTATATTTCCATATATAGGAGCAAAATGAGTTNTAAAAATGGTATTGTTAGTTGTTAATGGAATTTTGATTTTATTTTAAAATAATATTTAAAATAAAATAATTAAGGTTGATTTGATACAAAAATAAGAGATATGATGTGAAGTGATAGTTAGTTAAAATTATGTTATTGAATGAATAGTAAATTAAAATTGATGTGATGTGTAAAATCATTGGTTGACATTATTTAATTATATTGATAATATTTAGGATAGTGAAATATGGTTAATTAGATTTTGAGTATGAATTGAATGTGAATTGAGTTTTTTTATATACAAAGCTCTCTGCAAAGAGGTAGAGAATGAAGATGATGTTATATTCAAAATTAGAACCTTTAGCCGAACACCAATTAATTGAGATAATCTTCTATATGTTTTTTATTTTTAAAAATGTGAAGAGATAATCTTGGTTGATTCGTTTGTCTTGAACCAAACAACATGAAAAATTTAAAAATGGTGGCGAAGGTTTGAATGCTCTCCAACTACTAAGCAGATAAGGCACGAGACACCCAACTAAAATCGGCCCCATTACGAAATCACTTCTGTCAAACTAAGCGAACTCGTTTAATGGTGTAACAACATTCAAATTAAGTGCAATTTTCAAATAAATAGCAATTGAATAGAATTAGGATTATTATTGGAATAATATATATACTTCCAAAATACTTTCCTTAGACATAGGAATGAACTTTGAAGAATTGGATACTATTTTTTTATGGTTTCATTTTATATATGAAACTAATTCGTATTCCGTACAATGCAAGAGTAATAATATTATAAACAAAATATGAACATGTTGAAAAGATAACACAATTTCTATAATAAAAACCGATGGAATAAACAATCACAGAATTTAGAAATAAACGTGTTGAGTATCATCTCTTTAAAATTTGCATGATTTTTTTTTTTCGAAACGATAGAATTGATAAACTCAAACGAAAGGGATATAATGTTTGTACAAATCGGAGACCAACTGGCCTACAAAAGCCCAACCTAGGCAGTGAACACCTAAAGACAAATAAACAAAATAACAACCTAATTATAGCTATGTTAGTTCTCTATAGTTTCTAAGTTAGTAGTTGCTAGATTAGTTCTCTGTAGTTGCTAGGTTAGTTCTCTGTAGTTGCTAGGTTAGTTCTCAATAGTTGTTAAGTTAGTTTTTGTAATTGCTAAGTTAATTGCTAGATTAGTTTTCTGTAATTGCTAGGTTAGTAGTAGCTAGGTTAGTTATCTGTAGTTGCAAGTTTAGCTCTCTGTAGTCGCTAGGTTAGTTGTCTGTAGGTGCTAAGAGCTGAGCGCATTTTAAGAGCTGGACGCATTGTAAGAGCTGAACGCATTTGATCCGCCCCCTATATATATATCCAGGCACTACAAGAAAGATAGAAATGCTTTTGAACGATCAGTAGATGCAATAGGCGAATAGGAAGGTGAACCGACATCCGCATTTGACTCTTCTTCTCACCCAACCCAGGTCCGGGAGCTAGTGCTTGCTATCTCCCATTTATGGATGTCTTCTAGTTGAATCTTTCGAATTCGAATGTAGGGATTGATTGTGAATCAGCAGCTTTCCAAAGTCCTATACTTATTTGTTTTACAAATATTTTGTTTTTATTTTAATGCACCGTTATTGTTCACGGGAGTTACATTAATTGCAAAATAAAATAATTATTCTCTTTATTTTTTTAAAAAATAAATATATATTAAATATAATAAAAACTATTTTATACAAATCATTTTCTAGAATTTAAAATAATATTAAAAATTCTTTAATTTATTATTAATTATTTATAATTTTTATTTCACAATAATAATTTTATATATTTTTCATTCTTTGTTGCAACACTATTTTTTTTCTCAAACATCTGTGTAGTTCACGGGTGTTGTACTAGTTTATTAATTACACTAATTATTTATGTTCTGAATAGATACTATTTTTCAAAATTTGAATGTTTTGTTCTCTTCATTTTTTAAGAACAATAAGTAAATCTTTGTTCTCTGCTCCCCTGCGTCAATGGTAGCTCTCTGCTTTCCGTTGGTTGGATTCGCAGTTCCACACTCGCCGGTGGCGGTCTCGGCGACTAGTCTTTCTAGTCGCGTTGTTGGTGGTTGGCCGTCGGTCTGCTTCGCCTCTGTTCGTTTGCCGGTGCCCGGCTCCGCAGTGGTGTCTCTGGCTTGTGGTGGGTTGTGGAGGAGTGGTGTGAGTTGGGTGCGACCCTGGCTGCTCGGCTCATCTGAGATGAGTTGACCAGGGCTGAGGCGGGTCATTTCGAGCCCCCTGTGTCCCTCTCCGCTGGTGTTGTGGTGTGGGATGTCCGGTTGTCCCGGATCTAGGCCAGTATTGTTGGCTGGGTCCTGGAAAGCTAGGGGGGATGATCGATGCTCCTCCGGCTGTGAGTAAGCTTCACTTCTTAGAGTTGTCCGGAGCCTCGGATTTCGGCTTCAGCTAGGCGTTTCGGCAGTTTCGGGAGCTGATTTCTGGCCTGCGATTCGGTCTCTAGGGGAGTTTGTCCGTTATTATACTGGTGCCTTGTGCTGGGATTAGTGTTTCTAGTTTCTACTGTGGGAAGGGCTTTGTTTGTTGGTAGTTTATGTTCTTTTGTCTTAGTTTGTTTTTTGTTGTTTGTGTTTGTGTAGTTTAGGTCTGTGTTTTTGGTTTGAGCTGTTGGCCTCTGTGCGTCCAAGTATGAACTTATTATCCTGTTGGGATCGTACACTCTGGCTTTATCTTGTTGAGATAGTTTTCGTAGTTTTTCGTTTTTGTTTGTGTAGTTGTGAGTTTGTTATTCTAGCGTTGCTTGGTCAGGCTCTAGGCGATCTTCGGATCTGTCCTCCTAGTCTTTTCAGCCTTTGGTTGTACTTCTCAGCTTTTGGTTGTTTTCTCTTCGTACTTTGTGCGATCTTTAGTTATATAATATCTCTATCGTTTTGAAAAAAATGTAGATACTTCTGTAACTTATTTTAAAAATAATTATTATTTTTTTCACTAAAATGTCCTTGATTGTGTTAAATTTATCATTTTAGATTTTTGGATTTATGAAATCTTTGAAGCAGGTAAATTTAAAATATCATCAATATCTCGTACGACAAAAATTGCATTGTTAATAAGTATAAAATCTTCTTATTAATCCATACATGTAAGGATAATCAAATCATATAAAAAAAGCCAAAAGATATAGACTTCTTTAGTGGGCTGTATATTGGTTATGGAACGTAACATTTGAATTCAAGATGGAAACCTTATTTTTAAAATCTCAGTCGAGATTTCGAATTTTAAAATAAACTAAAACTCGAAATTTAGGACAACATTTAATGTATAGCGATTTTTTTTAAAAAAATCTAAGAAAAAATAAAAAAAGTTACTATTAATGGATTGCACTTAATGTTGGCGGTTTTTTATGACTACTATTTTTGGTGAATGTTTATTTTCTTTATATATATAGGGAGTGGATCAAATGAGCCAACTCCTTAAAATGAGTATGTGGGACTCAATTATAACCATTGATTTTGTGTAGATTAATGACTATATTAATATATTGAAAAATACATTCAATAAATAATAAAAAAATATTAAGATTATATTTAATTAATTATATAATAAATATATTTATATATTTGGGTTGACCATCATTGATTGGCCGTCCATGGCCGTTGACCGGTTGGCCCCAGCACATTCTTCCATAGCCGACACCCTCCGAAGTCCACCTCTCCTGCCGAGCCACCCGCCGTCCACCCTCAGCGCCTCCCCGGCGGCCCAATCGACTCTGCGACCCTCGTGCCCCGGAGCTTGGCCATCAGGTCGTTGTACACGAATGAGGCGAAGTCCGAGTTTTGCACCCAAATGACAGCGTTTAAGGTCGCGTTGACGCAGCTAGAGAGATCAAGCTTTAGATCGACAGCTCGCGCAGGCAAAGTCGGGATATTAATTGCTATATTCGGAGCCTTGCCGGGTTACGAAATATATTAATTGAGATGCTGGGTTTTTATGAGGTTTAAACCTCTAAGTCATGATTAAAAGTGGAGTTCAAATGCCTTGGAATATATTTGTTAAATTGGTTTTTATTGATTATATAGCGAGTCTTTTGTTTCATGTTTAAAACCCGAATATTGAACTCCTAAAGCAAAAATATATTTCGTATTGGTCGTAAGAGGTGTCGTAAAGGTCGAGGTAGTTTTCGGGATAAGCCGAAGTTCGATGCCAGGCCACAGAGCCCGGGTGTTGCCAAGACTGCTGCTGCTGGCGCGCCAGTGCACAGGCGGGACGCACGCTTGACGTGTACATCGCGTGCCTCGAGGTCCGCGTGTCAGCAACCTGTGCGGCCTCGTGTTGCCAACAATCCGTCCGTGTCGAGGCATCCTCCCGCAGCTCAACACCCGCTCGATACTCTCCCCGCGTCCGGTACAGTACCAGCAGTTACCCGTGGCTGTGCCCGAAGGCACGTGAGCTACCAGTAGCCAAATTGAGTGCAAGACTGAGGCAAGCCGTCGCACCAGGTCGCACCTGGTGCTAACCGCGGATTGAGCTGAGCCACCGGCTAGCTATCGAACTGCACCGGCCGAGCCAGAACCGAGACCGTGTCAAGCCCAAACACATTTTATATTATTTTGTACTGATCAGAGTATCCCGAGCTATTTTAGCATTTTATAAAACATCCCAAGTCTTAAAATGATTTCTCGAGTCGAGGTTAATATTAGATTTTAAAATATTAAATTCCGAGATGTATACCTAACTCTAGTCATTGCTAGTTTCGAAATAAAAGGATATTATTAGTAGGTTATTTATCAAATTTTTTATTAAAAAAAAAATTAAACATGCATAATATTTTTAATTTTAAATATATTTAATTTTAGTTTACTTGAATTGTTAAAATAATAAAACTCCAAATTTTGTAAAATAATACCGAGTAAAAGAATAACTACAAAACATAAGTTCCATCCAAATTGACACCGAAAGCTAAATTGAGAGTACGGATTCCACGATAGAGAGTGGGGGATACGAGATAACGAGAGGACAAACGATGCCATATCTAGTATGTTTTTAGTCATGACTATAAAGACATATTGAATATTTGGACGAATGATCAGTTTTGCTGTAAGTAAACCCGAGTTTCAGTCAAGAAGAGAAGGAAAACTGTTATATTATTTCTTTTATGTTTTTTGGATAAATGATTTGAAGCTAATTAGGCTCTGAATGCGTTTTTGTAGGCCACATTTAATAAAAAAGTTAATGCACAATGCCGTTGGAAATTCATAATATCCTTGGGTTGAATTATTTTGTTTGCTAATCCGGTGTGTGTCCAGTGACATATCCGGTTCTGGTGGAGTGTACTTGATCCTTGCTAAAATAGAAAATAATAATAATAATAAAACATAAAATAAAATAATAATAATAATAATAAATAAATAAATAAATAAATTAATTAATTAAAACCTTTTATAGATTTACAGAGTGAAGTAAATTGAGTTTTGGTCGATGAAGAAGAGCAGTTGTGGCTCTTGTCCCGGCGGAGCTAACTTGCAAAATCTTATTTATGTAGTTGTGACAATACATTTAGTAAAAAAAAATGATATAAATCTTATTTATTTATATTAGGAAAAAATTATTAATTATAAAGTACACAAGGGAATATTATTTAAAAAAAATTGAGTATGGAAGAGGAAAAAAACGTAGATAAAGTTTAAAAAATAATTAAAATTTGAATTGTTATCTGAAACAATTGTAAATGTTAAGAATATAAGACATAATAGTATTGGTTGTAACATTATTTTTTGGATGGAAGTAACATTATCTTCTATTGATGAGGGTAGTAGTGATGAGATAGTAATGAAGTTAGAAAATCTTATTTTCTATTTAGGAAATATTCAAGATCTCATTTATGAAGTTTAATAAAATATTTATATTTGAAAAAATTTGTGAAGTCAAAACATTATTTATATTTATATTTATACATAAAAAGCAGAGAAATAGGAAAAACATGCAAAATCTTATTTATGTAGTTGTGACAATAATTTAGTAAAAAAAAGATAGAAATCTTATTTAGTTATGTAGTTGTGCCAATACATTCATTTAAAGAATTGGATACAAAGCAAAATTTTAATAGATTAAATGTGAAAAAAAATTATTAATTAAAAAAACAATTGTAATGAAGTTTAAAAAACAATTATGAATTGGATACACAAGGAATATTATAAAAAAAATTGAGTATGGAAGGGGAAAAAAACGTAGGGGAAGTTTAAAAATTAACTTAAAAATTAATTTAAATTGAAACTCTTATCTGAAACAATTGTAATTACAAAATTATTTTTTGAAAGTAACATTATTTTCTTTTGATGAGGGGTAGTAGTGGTAGTAGTGATGAGATAGTAATGAAGTTAGAATATTACATTTATATACTTATAAAAGATAAAGCTCTAGAGGGTAATATGGGCATTTCAAAAATTTCAAGAAATGTTAATATTTAATGCATACGTAATAGTTATAGTATAACTATATAAAAATCTCAATAAGTTTTAAATAGTACATTATGAAAGTTTTAGAAAGTTTCTCGTAAGAATTCTATGAAATTCAGAAAATGCACCAAAGTAATTAAAGTTGTATAAAGTCCGCTAAAATTACTCACTTTAAAAAGTCTTAGAAAAGTTTTTAGAAGTTTCTCTTAAATACACTTCGCTTTGTGACCTATGTTTCTTGAGGAACTTTAATGTGAATTAATAAAATCTTTTGATTTTGCTGCAGAAAGATGTTACAAATCCATTTTTATATTCTCTCCTATTTTTATTATTTGTCGTTTTGAGAAGCAACACGGTAATTAAGAATTTTTTTTCTTAGCAATATTAACCTTATTTAATGAATGATATGGGAAACAATGGAGATGGGATATGAAGAGACACTGTGTATTAGATGGAGGTTTAAAAATAGAAAAATATGAACAAAATAGCCAAAACGATATTTATTTAATCAATGATCAATTAAGCCAGAATGACAAATAATAAAAATAAGAGGGAGTATTAATTTTTCAATTAAAAGCTTTTTTTTTTCTTTTAAATAAAAGCTTTAAACCACATCATCTTAAAAAGACCCGGAATACCGTTTTGGTGAAATTGAATAGAAACCATATGGGATAAATACTGTTAACTTGAATCTTCATTATCCAGTTGATAGTATAATATAACTATCTTTTTAATTTTTGCAACGGATCCATTTCTCAATTGTTTGACCTGTTCCTTGAATCCCGCTCAACGCTTTTATATAGCCCCCCTCTCTGCAGTATTTGTTTGGTTACATTCTTTTATTCATCTCATCTACTTACCCCTGACACAATGTATAAAAATGGTCAAGGCTAGTATGGTATAACTGGTGATTGGAATTTTGCAAACAGTAGAATGATGAGTCACCTGTCATTTTAATGTACAGAAGCTGTACAATGTGATTTAGTTTGTTTTTAAGTATATTATATATTCTGAGAGAGTAGTAAAGACTGTCATATTTATGTATCTTTCTCTTTCAGTACATAATATTCCGGTGTGGGATCGGCATTGATAAGACAACTGATTATTTTTTCATGGAGAAAGTGGATGTGATCATTTCACGTTTCTGGTCATGGATTTTGAGAAAGACCAGGTATCCTTTACTCCATTTTTAGCTGAAAACGTTGAGCATGATGGAAAATATTAAGCATATATATTACATTACAATTTTTATCTTGTTCCTTATACTCCATTTTTAGCTTATAAAACTTCATCTGGTTGGGTTTTCCTGTACCCTTTAATGTGGCATTCTGGGTGGGAAATGTTTTTTACTTACAGATTAGAGAATGTTCTTTCGAGAAGATCAAGTTCACGGCTTAAGAAGGATCCAAAAAAAGACGATGGAATTGTCTCTGAAGCAGAATCTGATGACTTATACGTTGAGCGTGTCCGTCTTGAGAATATGGACCTAAGGTTTTCTGAAACAGTCTGTTGTAGTGTTTCTTATCATTTTCCTTTTTGTTCTTCTTCGTCAGTTTTTTCAGCATTTGGAATCTAAACTTCGAACTAAGTGGCTGTTTAAAAGATTTTCCTTGTAATTGTTACTTTACAGTTTATAGATGTTGCATGATGAACATCTGAACTCAACACTAGTGCATTCTGTTAAAATATTCTTTGAAGTTGCTCAAATTCAAAGTTCAATTTGTTTAACTAGTACCAATAAGTAGATGTTCGTTCCTAAAGGGAAAAGATCTTAGAAGTACTTTCATTATTATTAATTCTTAATAGATGGAAATATACGGCGCAGGGATGGTTTATTTTTGCTAAGCTTTTTTATCTTGTAACCTTTGATGAAAGAGTTTAAGCTCTAGTGTGGTGCTGAAAAGTCAAGTTCAGTGTGTTAGTATTTATATGCTGTAAGGTTATGTTATTGTTGTTGTTGTTAAGGTTATTTTATTGACGTGTTTACTAATGTTATATTGTTGATGGCTCTTGTTTCAGTTTACGGAACTTGTTGAGTAATTAAACTTACAATTCAAGAACCCACTTTTGATAGGATCATTGTTGTCTACAGGTATTATCTGATATAAATTGTTATTGGATTACTATTCCCTGTTTGTGACAATTCTGTTATTTATTCTTCCCCATGACTGTTTTGTAGAATCCGTTGTGGCAGTGCTAGGTTTCTTAATTTGTTGTCACATATACAAAGCTATTTGGCTTTTCTCCTCTTAGCTCAACTGATATCTTGACCTATCAATTTCTTTTGTTGAGGAATTTAGTGTGTTTGTTTATAAATTATTTCAACTAATACTCAAAATCTAATTCAACTTTAACTCAACCCTAATATCCTCAATATTATCAATATAATTAAATAATACCAATCAATCATTTTTACATATTGGTTCTCTTGGCTTTCATCTCTAGCCTACCCCAGCCTACCCCAACTTGCTTGGAACTAAAAGGCTATGTTGTTGTTGTAATCATTTTTACATATCATATCAACTTTTATTTACTATTCAGCCACTCATATAATTTTAACTAACCACCACTTCACATCATCTCTCTCATACTTTTACATCAAATCAATTTTAGTAATTTTGTTTTAAATATTATTTATTATAAACTCAAAATCCCACTAACAACTAATCATACCAACTTTTTCAAAATTAACTCTGGTTAACAAAAAAAAAAAAAAATCGCTTTGAGTGGATATATTTGTATACAAGCACACACTTAGTAATTTACTGACAACTTGCAATGAAGCAATTGTTTCTCCTAGTCCTGGATGGTTTTTGGAGTTACCAATGAAAAAATGGACATAGCTTTAGGACAGAGATTGCTTATTGCTTGAGAAAAGTTAAACCACCCATTGTACATATAGTGAACTCCTTCACTTGCTTTTTTCCATCTTCCAGTAGTCCTTTACTGGTTAACAAGCAAAGTCTGCGTGCAGGCGAGCAAGTTCTAAAATAAAATCAGAGCGAGGCATATATGTGAAGCATTTCAAAAACATTCCATGGCCGATATGGAAATTGTCCTGGTGTGTACTCTTATCTTCTTTCTTGGTCATTTTCTTTTATCATCTTCTAATTTTGTTTTGTTTAGACGCTGATATGTTTTTACATTTAATTTTTGTCAAATAGCCAGAGAAAAAGAATCCAGGTTTAACTCCAATGGATTGGGTTAAATTTCTTATATCTGCAGTTGTAGGACTGGTTAGTCAACTTGTTGCCATTTGTACCCTTCAGTTCCATACATTTTTCACTTATTTATATTTTAGGGGAATCTTTCAGGTCGCTGTTGTTGGATCTGTTGAAATGCCCAAAGCTGACCTGTGGGTGATTTTTGCTATTCTTTCCACAGTGATTGGTTATTGTGCTAGATTTACTTCACGTAAGTATTTCCTGCCTTGTAACTTTTCTCCTTCCTTTTTCTCTCAGTGTTTATGATTTTTTTGTAAGTCTTTTAGAAAATGAATATTGCTGCTAGTTCAAGCCATATAAAAAGCCACTGAATACAAAATGTAATGTCATTATCATGGCTTTGAACCTTTTTTTATATATTTATTCTTGAATTTGAGTGTGTTCACGTTCTACATGTTGGAATGTGCATGGGTAGCATGCTAATCCATCCAATCTTCAGACTTAATTTGTTGTGAAGAGGCTGTTTTTTTACTTTAGAGAACATGCTCACAATACTTGTATTAGTAATGATCTGATGCTGATTGTGGACTTTCTGAGGTTTCATTTGTTTTTCCATTTTGATGGTTTACTCTGATGTCTGTCTATTTGGTTGGGTATTGATTTTGCTTGTATCTAATTGTCAGGTTTCAACAGAATATGGCTACTTATCAGAACCTAATAACTCAATCTATGTATGACAAGCAGTTGGATAGTGGAAGGGGCACTCTTCTCCACTTGTGTGATGACGTAATTCAGCAAGAAGTATAATAAAACTTTAGTTATTTTGCCAATTTTAAGTCATGATACTTTGAGCTTCATATATGTAGTCTAGAAGCATGTATAACAGAAAAAACATGCAATGCGAACTAAATTTTCATCGCAGAATTTATTATCACAAAGAATTTTCTTATAAACATCCAATCAGTAGAATTGGACATTGTAAACTCTTTCCTTCCCTCTGGGTTTGATGGAATGCTGATGGGAGTTTATTTTCTCTCCAAGTAAAGCATGTTAGGGTTGTTGACATTTTAAATGAGTAAATGGTTATACAATATGAATTGTTGAATATGAAGTGTCCTTAGTGATTAATGCACTTCAATTTCTTAAATTAAGTTTTTGTATCACAAATTTGCAGGTGAAAGAGGTCATAATTTCATTTTTCATATTGATGGAAAACGGGAAAGCCACTTTGGAGGTAAGCAGAGATGGTGCCTTTCTATATTTGCAGATTTATGTTGACTAGAGCTAGATATTTACAATTTAATATACATATATATTCTTTACGTGAACAGGATCTTGATCAGCAATGTGAGGAATTAATACGAGATGAGTTTGGTGAACGCTGTAATTTTGATGTTGATGATGCGGTTCACAAATTGGAGAAATTGGGCATAGTTTGTCGCGTGAGATTCAATTAGCATATTACTTTACTTACTTTCATATAAAGCATATATTTATGAGTATCTTATGAGATCATTTCTGTGAGTTGAAGTGTCGAACAAGGTCTCTGTCTATTCCTCCCTCAACTTGCATGGTTGGATATGTAATTTTATTCTTGCTGCTTTTGGGTTTTTTGAGATGTAATAATAAGTAACACTTTCATTTGTTTGAGTAACCATAAATGACTTGTTTGTTGTGATGCTATTAGGATACAATTGGAAGGTATTACAGCGTTGGGCTAAAGAGGGCGAATGAGATCATCGGCACAACCACCGAAGAACTTGTACTGAAAGCTAAACAAGGATCTGCTTTTGCTTGAAATATAGTATTATGACTATGAGCAGCCTTTGAATTTCAGGTCCTTTGTTTTGCTTCCAATGGCGTAAAACCTGAAAATTTAAGAGTGCGATAGTTTCTAGTTTTAGTAGTTGATTGAAGATGTCCATTTTAGTTGTCTTGCAGATGTTGGATGCGGCGTGGTTGTAATTCGGTTAAACTGAATGCACCATCACTAGTTATTTTTATTTATTTTATTCTGTTCAATTTTTAGTCATGTATTCTTTCATTATTAGGTGCGCTATCTTGTACTAAATTGCATGCTTTCTAGTTTCTACCACATCCACTGATCCACACGGACACGTGACTCTATTTGATTTATTTTTTTTTGTTAATAAAAAAAGGCTTATAGCCCTATTACATCATCAAGTTCTTACATAACATAGGGAAAAAAAGATTGGAATACAATCGGAACACATTATCGTGGTTTTGGGTCCCACCGTCCACTTGGTAATGGCGTGAGCAATTGCATTATGAAGTCGATTGGTATGCTAACAGAGTCCATAGTCTAATGAATCCAAGAGTGTCAGGATGTTCGAGAAAATACCTTCAAAAGAGTGATGTGAATCATTCGCAATCAACCCTTGCACTACTTCAAGACAATCCATTGTGACTTGTTTGATCTTCATTCGCATCATAGAAGCGAACTGTAACCCAAATAGAATTTGTAACAGAAAATGGAGGAAAAAATCAAATAATTTTATTAAATATTTTGCCTACATATATATAGATTATTAAGTTTTAAGTAGGCATCATATTAGACTATGTTTAATGGGTTAAGAGATTCACTTGTGGTACACAAAAAAAAAGCCCAAGATGAATTACTAACCAATAAAATATGCTCCAATGCTAAGAAGCCCAACATTAAGCTAGGGTTTCGTCTCATTCTCCTTTAAATGCTCTCTTCGCCCTTCTCTTACATCTCTCTCACACGGCACCAAGCAACCATTTTGGCAACCCTATTTTTACCGAAAGAGACAGCCGCCGCCTTCATTCTTCCTTCATCTCTCGCACGGCAGAATCAGGAAATCCGATCGAAATCGATCGATCGACAGAAAAAGCATCTCCCTCCCCTAAAATTTTCCCGTCGATCATCTCTATCGGCTTTCACTTTTCACCAAATCTTACGGCCAAGTCGCCATCTTCCTCTTCCCCGACCGACCGACCTTCGGCAACCTTCCCCCAGCCGTCGTCTCCTTCGACCAACGTCCGGTCGCGTTGAAGCCAGCACCGTCGAGAGTAGCAGCCGTCGAACCCCTGTCCACGAGCAGTCTTGCTGGCGTCCGTTCACCATCCATCGTCGCCGCCGCGAGTTCCACGCGCAGCCGTAGCCGCCGAACGGGCGAGCCCTACCGAACGGACAGAGAGCAGTCATTTCCGGTAAGGAGCAGCGAACGCCGGGCAAACCGCGACCGGAAACCGCCAACCACCAGATTTCCTGGCGACCAGACCAGTGGCTGAGAGACCTTCATTTGGCAGGTACTAGTCGCGGCTGAAACCAAACATCGCCGCCGCTACCAGGTCCGACCCGACCTTCAACTGCTGAGTTTTTCTTTCTGACGGCGGGCTGAGGCGCCATTTTCTGATTGAAGAGTACCCGGGCTGAGGGCCTGTTTCCGGTGATTTGAGCACCATCCGAGAGTGGGCTTTTTGTGGACTGAGGCGCCTTGATTTCTAACGGCCACCGAGAGCTTGAGCAGCGGCAGATGGGCCATTTTTTAGAACGTGTGGGTGTCCGGGCTGCAGCGAGCCGAGTCTTCCCGAGGCTGCTAGTGACCATGTTCGAATCTCAATTGGCTTTTCCTCTCCTCGTGTAGAATCGAGGAGTGTGGTAATCTCGATCTTCTCTTTTATTTTCGTTCGTTTAGATCCCTGTTTTGCGATGTGCGACTCGTTGGAGATTGAGAATCATGTTATTCTGAATTGTGGATTGCGAATCTTTTTGTGAACTGTGAATAGTGAATCTTGTGTAATTGAGACCTTGAGTAAATCTGTGGAATTGGTGGTTTCGGATCTTGTCAATGGAGATATGGTTATGTGAATAATAACTTGGTGTGAATAAATATTGATTTAGTGGGATGTTGGGATCTTTGGATTTGAGTTATGTTGGTGAGATTAATTGGTGAAGAAATTGTGTTAAAGTTGTGAAATTTCATGGACTGGGAACCTTTGTATTGCCTTGGACTTATGTTGAAACTCTTAGAAAAGGAGATTACATTCGTGTGCTTAACTTGGGAAAAATAATGGACTTGAGACTTTGTTTTGTTGCCTTAGGATTGTGTTGAGAACATTGAAAAATTTGAGAAGTTCGGATCTTTAAAAGTGAAGAATTATTTTTGTTAATTGGTGAAGTTGGGCTCTTGTGAATTTTGGTTATATTTATGTGTTCAGAAACAATGACACGTTATACCAATTTTGTAGACGAAACTTTTTTCTCCAATGAGATTGATATTCTTCAACCTCTATCCACATCAAAGTCTCAATTTGCTATTCCATTGGATTAAATGGTTTAGTTAGTTTATGCTTTCTCCATTCTAGTCCTGCTTTTTTAGTGTATTGACTTCTTTACTATCTTCGAAATTTTCTTACCTTCATATATAGTGACTGCTATTTTTTTCTCAATGGTGGTCTTTTCAAATTCTAGCATTTTGCTCACAGTGCATCATAAACATCCGCTGTGATTCTGAGGCATCAGTGATGATTTTTTTTAAAAAATATTTGTCAGTGATGAAGTTCATGACAAAGATATGAGCAGTATGCTGACAATTGTGGATATTGCTGGAGCAGAGAGTGAAAAGAGGTAAATTTTACATTATGTGAAAGCAAATGAATAATTTCTTCCAAGTAGGGGGAAACCTGTGGCTAGAAATTAATCTAAAATGTTTTCATGTGCTTGTACAGATATTAACACCTAACTTTTCGATCTCAGATCAAAGTGCAAGGGCAGGTTCTGCAAGGATCAACTTAAAATGGGGTGCTTGGCAAAATTAAACGGATTCGAAGCTATATCTTGACTTGGTCGTTTTTCGGGTATATTTATAGATTCTGCGATTTTCCAGGGTTTAGGGTTCTAGGGTTCTAGGGTCCTAGGGTTTAGGGTTCAGGGTTCTAGGGTT